CACTTCCACCCCTCTCTCTCCCCCCCCCTCCCCACATCCCGAAGGTTTTCCAGAAGAGTTTTTCCCTCTTGGGTCAGTAAATCTACCCACCTCTAACTGCACCTTTTCCCCCCACCAGGTAAATGGAACGGAAGGCGAGATGGAATATGAAGAGATCACACTAGAGAGGGTAATTTTGTGTGTGTGTGTGTGTGTGTGTGTGTGAGATCGGGGACAAGGAAGTCATTTATGTTGCTGTTTCTCAACTTTGCAACTTTAAGATTTGTGGACTTCAACTCCCAGAATTCCACAGCCAGCTGAGGAATTCTGGGAGTTGAAGTCCACGGGACTCAAGGATGCCTTCCTGGCTGGGGAATTCTGGGAGTTGAAGTCCTCGGTTGCAGTCGTATGGGGTCCATTTGCACTTAGACCTTGCTCTCTCCCAGGGCAACTCCGGGCTGGGGTTCAGCATCGCCGGGGGCACCGACAATCCACACGTTGGCGACGACCCCAGCATCTTCATCACCAAAATCATCCCTGGAGGGGCGGCCGCTCAAGATGGCAGATTAAGGTGAACACCTAGAAACCTGGCCCTCCTGGTGGTCTCCCATCCCAGGACTCACCAACCCTAGCCCTGCAACGGTCGTAAGTGTGAAATGCGGCCGTAAGTCCCTTTTTTTTCTCCAAAGGGTCACTAAGCGAGTGCTCGTAAGTTGAGGACGGCCCGTAATTTATTTTAATTCGTGCGTTCCCTTTCTCCCAGCCGCCCGACTCAACCAAGTGACTCTGGGCGGAATTACAATCCTGATTTTTTGGGGGTGGGGTCTGATTTCTCCCCCGGAAACAGAGTGAACGACAGCATCCTCTTTGTGAACGATGTGGACGTACGGGAGGTGACCCACAGCACGGCGGTGGAAGCGCTGAAGGAGGCCGGCTCCATCGTGCGCCTCTACGTCATGCGTCGGAAACCGCTGGCGGAGAAGGTGCTCGAGATCAAGCTGATCAAAGGCCCTAAAGGTAACCCCCCCTGGTCCCCCAGGGCTTCCCACGGACCTATGGGAGCTTGTATCCCCCCTCTTTAGGGCTCTGTTGCTTCGGTGAACCCCAGTTCCCGTTTGGGTGAAGCCACATTACCCCCCCAAATCAGTCTTTCTCAACTTCAGCAGCTTTAAGATGGGTGGACTTCAACTCCCAGAATTCCCTAGCCAGCCATGCCTTTCTTCCTTTTCTGTTTTTTTCTCCTATGCCCCCTAGAGCGGAGAGATTGCAGAGAAAGGGATGACAAGAGAGTACGCGGGCCACAATGGGTGTACCTAGCGAAAGGGATAGCATTAGCGCCAGGGAATTCTGGGAGCTGAAGTCCACCCGTCGTCAAGTGGCCAAAGTTGACAAGCACCGTCCTGAGTAGAGACTTTATGTCTGGTTCTGCTTCTGATCGTAGAGAAAAAAGATCTTCTCCACCATCCCATGATCCCTAGCACGGCTAATGGAACCTCCCGTGGCAGGCACAGTGTATCTTTAAATGCCACGTGCTGGGCACAAATGAGGGAGAAGGGCCGTTGCATCCATGCTGCCTTTTAGTACGAAATGTCAGTTCTAATTGTTATCCAGATGCTCATGTCATGCAGTGGATCCTGGCATGGGATAGTACCAGGCCGCGGCCTGTTGGCCACTGGGCCCCGGGAATAGCTGGCGAGCCTGCCCCACTGGCGGTAGCACCATTTGCGCATGCGTGGGAACGCTAGCATTGCCGCCAGTGTCAACGCAGGCGCCTGCGGCCCATTTGCGCACACACGCCTGTGCCAGCGCGTGTTCCGTGGGGACACATGGCCTGTTTGCACATGCGCTAGGCAGCTCACGTCCCATTGGTGCACGCAGCCCACTTGAGCACGCATGCACACACTAGCACCACCATCGTGCATGCGCCTGTTTGCACATGCACGCGCGGGCCGTGTGCGCGCATATTTCCCTGCCTCTCCCTTTTCTTCTGAGCTGTCCAGCCAGAAAGGTTGGGAAATTCTGGACTAGATGATGTTAGAGATTGTACAGGAAACTTCTTAAAATGGTTAAAACCGCTACCGTGAGTGGTGTGGAGCTTGCCACATATTCCCGTGGCCTGTTGTGGACCCGGTACCGGGCTGTGAACCATAGGTGGTGGACCCCTGTGTTAAAAACGAATTCAGCTCTAAGAAAATGTTTCCTCCAGAAGGTGACTTCCTCACGAACTTTCTTCTCTGGACTTCCTCCGCAGGGCTGGGCTTCAGCATTGCGGGCGGTGTGGGCAACCAGCACATCCCGGGGGACAACAGCATCTACGTCACCAAAATCATTGAGGGCGGGGCAGCCCACAAGGACGCGCGGCTGCAGATCGGGGACAAAATCCTGGCGGTAAGGCCCGGGCTGGGCGGGGCTGTGGTGGGCTGCCCAAGAACCAGGGTGGGGGAACGGCCTTACAAGAATTCCCCCAAAATTAAATCTAGAGATAGCCAAAAGGATTAGATAATTTCAATCCAGATTAATAAGGGTTGATAGATCTGGCCATAATGCTTCAGATATCTTCAGTTCCATTCAGTTTAACTTTACTCAACTCAACCCAACTCCATTCAAGTTAACTTAACCCAACCCAACCCAACTCAACCTAACTACTCAGCTCAGCTTAATTTAACCTTACTCAACCCAACCCAATTCAACTCAACCTAAGTTAACCTTACCCAACCCAATTCAATTCAACTCAACCCAATTTAACCTTACTCAACCCAACTCAATTCAACTCAACCTAAGTTAACCTTACCCAACCCAACTCAATTCAACTCAACCTAATTTAACCTTACCCAACCCAATTCAATTCAACTCAACCTAATTTTACCTTACCCAACTCAACAACTCATCCTAACTCAATTGAAGTTCATCAAATCCAACCCAACCCAACCCAACTCTTCAGCACTACTCAATTTAACCTTACCCATCCCAACAATTGAACTCAACCCAATTTAACTTTACCAAACCCAACTCAACTCATCCCAATTCAACTGAAGGTCACTAAGCCCAATCCAACTCAACCCAACCCAACCCAACTCTTCAATGCTACTCAACCTAACTTAATGTTACCCAACCCAACAATTCAGCTCAAGCCAATTTAACCTTTCCGAACCCAACTCAACTCATCCCAACTCAATTGAAGTCAATCTAAGCCAACCCTACTCAACCCAACCCAACTCTTCAACTCAACCCAATCCAACTCTTCAATTCTACTCAACCCAACCCAACCCAACCTAGCCCAACCCAACCCAACTCATGAACTGGTGCCTTTAAGTCATGATATGTGTGATGTAACCGGCTCTTTCTTCCTGTCGGCACCCCTAAGCATAGGCTGGGGGAAATTATTCACAACTTTCCACAAGAGGGGATCTTTCAGTGAGCGGGATTACATCTCCCTTCATCTCCGATGTGTAATTCCCCATTGCTGGCTGGGGAATTCTGGGAGTTAGAAGTCCACACTTTTGAAAGTTCCCGAGGTTGAGAAATGCTGAGCTAAGCAGATGCTCAGTTTGTAACGAACCAGGATGAAGATGGGTTGAGTGGGAGGCGGAGTGCCTTCACCCAACGCCACAGGTGAGTCTGTCAATCAACAGCCCTTTCTTCCCCTCCCCTGCAGGTGAACAATGTGAGTCTGGAGGACGTCATGCACGAAGACGCTGTGGCAGCTCTGAAGAACACCTTTGACATTGTCTACCTGAAGGTGGCCAAGCCCACCACCCTCGACCTGAACGACTCTTACGCCCCTCCTGACCTCACTTCCTGTGAGTGGCTTCCCGCCCCTTCCTCCTGATCTCTCCACCTCCTCCCCTCTTAGACAACCTCATAACGGAGGCATCCTTGGTCAACCGTGGGCTTGCGAACGACCCTGGCTACTCCAGAGAAAACCCAACTAAACTCATCATTCTTGCAAAACTAGGGATTTTTTTTTGTATCTCTGGCTGTGGGGGACCTTAAAGAGCTTTATTTTTAACATTTGCGGAGCTTCACTGATCTATTAAAAAAATATGTTACTCTCCACCAACACATAAGAAATATACTGTATATATATATATATATATATACTTTTAATTCTACGCGGGAGAAAACCCGAATAACTAAAGACCTACATATATATATATATATATATATGCAGGTCTTGGCGTTTTCGGGTCTTTTCCCGTGTAAGATTGAGAGTATCTTGGCGACGTTTCGACGAGGTCCCACTCGTCATCTTCAGGCTGGGGTCTTCGGCTTCGTGCTTGTGCGAGCCAAGTGTGATCGGAGCTGCCGTCTCTCTATAAATATTGGTGGGGGGGTGTGGAGTGCTGGCTTAGTTGCTGTAGTTGGGTTGGTTGGCTGTGTTGGAGCTATTGTTTGCGGATTGTTCGGCTGTTTCGTAACATCCTGAATAGTTGAGGGGCTGGCTGTGTGCCCATTAGTCTTTTGTGTTATAACGACCTGGGTAATGGGTTGTGTGATTACATCCTGAGATCTAGTGTAGTGATATCCTGAGTTTTGTGTTGCAACATCCTGGGTGGTTGGCTGTGTTGGTGGCTCACACAAGCATGAAGCCGAAGATGACGAGTGGGACCTCGTCAAAACGTCGCCAAGATACTCTCAATCTCACACGGGAAAAGACCCGAATACGCCAAGACCTGCATACCTGTACCCGTGAAAATCTACGAAAACACACACACACACACACACACACATATATATTTGCAAATTCTGAATTAAAGGTCTTTGCCTCTGCAAAAATGCCACCTCCCCCTTTTTTAATCGTGCTTCCTTCCCTTTTGGTTTTTTGCATGTTCGTTTGGCATATAAATCCAATAAATCATCATTATTATTCTTCTTTATGATTAGCTTACTCTCATCACCTGGACAACGAAATCGGTCATCAGAGTTACCTGGGTAGCGACTACCCACAAGCCATGACCCCCACCTCTCCTCGGAGGTACTCCCCCATCCCGAAAGAGCTGATGGGGGAGGAAGATATTCCCAGGTAAGTTCTGGCTCCGCCTCCTGGGGGGTGTGGCATCCGCGCACCTGCCACAGAGTCTTGGCCACGCCGTTCGCTGTCCGTGGTGCTGAAGGCGGCTGTGGATTCAGCACCAAGGGCAGCGAACGGCTCTTCTTGACTGCGACTGGGCCCAACATTTATGCCGTTCGGTGAGCTTTGCCCCATTTTACGACCTTTCCCGCCACTGTTGTTAAGGGAATCACTGTGGTTGTTAAACGAGGAACATGGTTAAGGGAATCACCAAAGGGGATCGCATGATCTCCGGGACGCCGCAACCGTCATAAATACAAGTCAGTGGCCAACACGGTTTCAATTTGGAGTGAGTCCGGCGGGCTGCCAAAAGGGCATGTGGCCACCGCAGAGGAAGACGTGAAGGATTGGGGTTCGTTTCGTCTGAAAAAGAGACCAAGCGGAGATCTGAGTACAGATTGTAATTAGCTGAAAGGGTTAGGGAGGCAGGCCAAGGAAGGAATCGCGCGAGACACCAGGAGGAGGGGAGTCCGTTTCAAACTCGGCAACTTGAAGGTGTACGGACTTCAACTCCCAGAGTAGCCCAGCCAGCAGGGGAGCGGGGGTTGGACTAGATGACCCCCTGGGACCCTTTTAAGTTTCACACCCTCGCTTTTTCTCTCTCCAGGGAACCGCGTCGCATCGTGATCCACCGTGGCTCAACAGGGCTGGGGTTCAACATTGTGGGGGGCGAAGACGGCGAGGGCATTTTCATCTCCTTCATCCTGGCCGGAGGACCAGCTGACCTCAGCGGGGAACTTCGGAAAGGGGACCAGATCCTCTCAGTAAGATCCTTCCCCCCCCCCCGTCCCACTCCTGCTGATCCCTCCAAGGGGGGGACGGCGTGGTGGGGGGCCTGGGGTTGAGCCAGAAGCAGGATAATAAGCATTATACTGCTTATCAGAAGATATATATAATATTTATTACACTGCTTAGTATATTGCTCGCTATCCTGCTTACTATAATATATGTAATATTTATTATAATATTTATTATAGTTTATTATACTGCTTATTATAATATATATAATATTTGTTATAATATTTATCATACTGCTTAGTATATTGCTCGCTATCCTGCTTACTATAATATATATAATATTTATTATACTTTATTATACTGCTTATTATAATATACAATATTTATTATATTTATTAGTTTATTATACTGCTTATTATAATATACAATATTTATTGCAATATTTAGTATGGTTTATTATATTGCTTATTATAATACACATTTATTATAATATTTATTATACTGCTTATAATATATATAATATTTATTGTAATATTTATTATACTGGTTATTATACTGCTTATCATAATATATGTATGTATGTATGTATGTATGTATGTATGTATATATATATTATATTATAAAGCAGTATAATAAGCAGTGTGTGGCAGCAACTAAAGAAGCTAACACAAACCCTGGGTTGTATAAACAGAGGCATAGAATCAAAATCAGGGAAGTATTAGTATCGCTTTGTAAATCCTTAGTAAGGCCACACCTGGAATACAGCATCCAGATTTGGTCCCCACATTACAAAAAAGATGTTGAGTCTTTGGAAAAAGTGCAGAGAAGAGCAACAGAGATGATCAAAGGCCTGGAGACTAAAACATACGAAGAACAGCTGCAGGATTTGGGTCTGGCCAGTCTAGAGAAAAGGAGGACTAGGGGGGACATGATAGCAGTATTCCAGTATTTGGGGGGGGGCTGCCACAAAGAAGAGGGGGTCACATTATTCACCAAAGCACCAGAGGGAAGGATGAGAAACAAAGCTTGGAAACTGATCAAAGAGAGAAGCAACCTGGAATTAAGGAGAACCTTCCTGACAGTGAGGACAATCAACCAGTGGAATAGCTTGCCATCAGAAGTTGTTGGTGCTCCATCACTGGAGATTTTTAAGAAAAGACTGGACAGCCACTTGTCTGAAATGGTATAGGGTCTCCTGCTTGAGCAGGGGGTTGGACTGGAAGACCTCCAAGGTCCCTTCCAGCTCTTCTGATCGCTTATTAACCTCTTCCGACAGGTCAACGGCGTGGATCTCAGGAACGCTACCCACGAACAAGCTGCCATCGCTCTGAAAAACGCCGGGCAGACGGTCACCATTATCGCCCAGTACAAGCCAGATGGTAACAATTTTTTTGGGGTGGGGGAGAGAGAGACCCAACGCGGGGCACACGAGTGGATACGGGAGACAGGGTGGATGAAAATCAACCCTCAAACTGGAAAGTGGCGAGGAGGGGGGGGATTAAGTGTGAAAAACGGTCATAAGTCCCCTTTTCCTGGTCCGTAATGGTCACTAAATGAACTGCTGTAGAACTGTGTCTGTCTCTGTATTGTGCCATGCACAACAAAGAGGCATGGCTTTGGTCTCAGCTGCCATCTTGACTTTTTCGACCCGCCCTGGGTGGAAACGTCTGCAGAGGAGGGGGCTGTTTGAAATGGGGGTGGGGGGGACATTGAGATGTCACCTGTCGCTTTTGGAGGTGTCAGTGATCATCTCTGTGTTTGATGCTTCTCAAGCTGGTGACCTTTAAGAGGGGAGGACTTCAACTCCCAGAATTCCCCAGACAGTCACGCCTGTTTTTATTCTCCTATTATCTCCTAGAGCAGAGAGATCGCAGAGGGAGGTATTAAAAGAGAGTAAGCAGGCCACAATGGGTGTACAGATCAAAAGGAATGTATTCATGCCAGGGAATTCTGGGAGTTGAAGTCCTCACCTCTTAAAGTTCCCAAGGTTGAGAAGTACCAGATTTGATTATCTTTGGGGGCATTTCAATTCTACAACTCCGTGATTCTGTGACCCAGCGTCACACAAAGACACACAGACCCGTTTCCCGATCTCTTCCCCTTTCTAGAGTACAGCCGCTTTGAAGCCAAGATCCACGATCTGCGGGAACAGCTGATGAACAGCAGTTTGGGTTCAGGAACCGCCTCGCTTCGGAGTAACCCCAAAAGGGGCTTCTACATCCGGTGAGCCCCCAGCCCTTAGGACCCCCATTCCAGAGTCCAGGGGTGTCCCCCCCCCAAAAAAAATAAAAATCACCAGAGGGGTGGTAACTATATTATTTTAAAAATAAGAATCTGTGAACTTTCCTGGTGGAAATGTCCCGTTCACAGATAGTCCTCGACTTTTTAAGAAGAGACTGGACAGCCGTTTGTCTGAAATGATATAGGGTTTCGTGCTTGAGGAACTGTATATGCAGCCCATCTCACCATCCAGCGAATTTAAGGGAAGGGGCAAGTTTGAAACAGTCCGTGACATTTTGGCCTTCTCACCTGTTCGCCCACTCCCATCCCCCCCTCCATCGAACAGGGCTCTCTTCGACTACGACAAGACCAAGGATTGTGGCTTCTTGAGCCAAGCTCTGAGTTTCCATTTTGGCGACGTCCTACACGTCATTGACGCTTCCGACGAGGAGTGGTGGCAGGCGCGACGTGTCCATCCGGATGGCGACAGTGACGAGCTTGGCTTTATTCCCAGCAAGAGGCGGTAAGGGAGAGGATCTTTGGGGAGGGGAGGGGTCTCTCCTGCAACTTTCGAAAGTGGGGTTCAGGGCACACAGAGACACACACTACATATCCATGCATTAAAATGTGTTCGGCTGTGGCCAAATTCTCCCATCTTGGAACATGTCTGTGGTCTTGCCTGGTTGTGCAAAAACCACCAAATCCCTTTGTGGTCGCCAAAAATTGATATGCTAGATCGTGTCAATCGATCTCGTAAAATCAGTGTGAAGATGCTCAATTCTTAGTGGCAAAATTTGATGTGCCATTTGGGGTGGTTTTTAATGGTGGGGAGGCGTCTTTGGGCAGTTGGAGAAGATCCTGGACTTTGGCGATTGTTGGGGGGCTGAGAAGGAAGGCCTTGGGGTCCCCAACTGATGCGCCTTCTCTCTCTCTGCCTTCTGCAGGGTCGAGCGACGGGAGTGGACGCGGTTAAAAGCAAAGGTGAGTCCATCCTTGGTCTTGCAAAAGACGGGGTTCAGGACCCCAACATAACTGTGGGGCATTTGTCAAGAACTGTACACTGAGAGATAATTTGGAATTACCGAGAAGTGACTAATCTGGAGTCTGGCCAAACCCTCTCTGATGACAGGTAGTTCTCGAGTTATGACCATTCGGAGTTACGTCATGAAATCACGTGATCCTGCTCTGGGCGCTTGGCAGCTGGCTCGCATTTACAACCGGTTGCAGGGCCTCACAATTATGTGAATGCATAATTTGTGACATTTCCTGCTGGCTTTCCCAGAAAGTCACTGGGGAAGACGGCAGGAAAAGTTGCAGGTCACTGATGTTAGTTTTCCTCACCTGACCCTCTAAACATGCACTGACTCAGCCACTTGCACAGCCCCATACACAGTGGTGGGATTCAGCCAGTTCGCACCACTTCGGCAGAACCGGTAGCTAATTTTTTGTTGCCCAGGCCCAGAACGGACTTCCGGAAGTGACATCCATGCAGAGAACCGGTTGTTCACATATTTGATCCCACCACTGCCTGTACACCCTTCTCAACCGTGCCTCCCTTGCATACTCATACACCATCCCCGAGCCTTGCTGCACCTCCCCACTACTTGTGCACTCCCATGCACCCTTCCCAAGGTTCATCATGTCCCTTACACCCTCATACACCCTCAGCCCCACTATGCCTCCCTCACACTCTTGTACACTCTACACACCCTTGTCACCCCTCCCCTGCCACTCACACACCCCGGCAATTTCCCCCCCCCCATCCAAGGCTTTCCAGGCCTCCCCTGCCACTCGCACACTCCTGTACATCAGCAGCTTACCTACCTGCCACCTGCTTGCAAACACCTGGGATCGGCAACTTCCGATTAGCTTTTGGTAGTGGAGCCAGCAGGAAGCTTAAGGAGGTTCTCATCTAACCACCACTGTGATTCACTGTGATGAACAACCTCAGTTCGGACTGCAGGGATTGCTGTTACTAAGCCATGTGGGAATCCTACTCCCAATTGTCCCCTAACTCCAGGACAACCTGTAACACCTGTTATTAATTTGTTAGCTTGCAAGCTGGGAATTCAAAATTAAAGCCAACCTGTCTTCAAGGTGACGAGGTTGGGGCACCCAGCTCCAAGCCGTCCAGGCACGCTGCTCTCGTTGTGTGTGTGTGTGTGTGTGTGTGTGTGTGTGTGTGTGTGTGTGTGTAGAGGGATCTGTCCTGAATTAGCCCCGAAGATCTCTTCTGCAGCTTGGAAAAATCTTCCTAACGAGACATACCTGCGCGGTGTAGCAAAGACAGTTTAATGTCCATGGAGCAGCGCGTCCTGCAGGACACATGGACATACAGATCCATGTGTCCTGCAGGACAGAGTGGTGGGCTTTGTCCACATCTGGAGGACCTCTCAGGGTGGGACCAGCTGCCACCTTTTGTCCTGTGCCTGGAGTCCTGGGGAAGAAGCTTCCCATCCAGAGTCCACCCCTCCCCTTTTGAGGAGGAACATCCCTCCAGTGTCCACAAACATAGTCCTCACCTCCATCACAGAAACAGAGGTGTGCGTTCCCCTCTCTTTCTCTCCACTCCTCCTCTCTTCCTCTTCCTTATTTTCTCTTCCTTCCTTCCTCCTCCAGGATCGGGGCCCTGGATCAGGCTGTCAAGGTGGGTGCCAGTCTGTCCTGCTTCCTGAACCTTTGTTCACTTCTGGGTGACCCCCTTTTCCTCCCGTCTCCTTCCCTGCTTGCTGTCTGTTTCTCTCCGCTGTCCCTGTTCTCCTCCTCCTCCTCCTCCTCCTCCTCCTCCTCCTCCTCCAGGAAGAATATTTGACCACATTCCCTATTTTTCCTCTGCAGGTCGAGAAGATGCTGTGTTGAGCTACGAAACCGTTGTGCAGATGGAAGGTGAAAACCCCCCATTTCTGGCTTTTTTGCTCGTCCCCCCGCTGGTGCTGTGGTTCACAACATCGGTGTCCCATCTTCCAGGGCAAATGCGGTGGACAGAAAAGCTGTGTGAACCCCCCTCCCCCAAATGGAGTTAAAAAAAGGAAAAACATAGGCAATTCAGGAAAGACGTAGAAATGGTTATCAGATGTAGATATGGGAATGAAGAACCCATCGCTGGTCAAGGCAGCTGAAAGGCTTCTCTGAATCGGCTGGGAGTGATGGAAGGTGTAGTCCAACACTTCTGAAAGGCAGCAGATTGGCGCAGGGGGGTTGGTTCCTTGGCCAAACTCTCTGTCAAACCCCCCACATACACACACACACACACTATGCCCCCCAGAATTTGCCTTCTTCTTTCAGTTCTTTCAATTTGATTTCTCCTTTGATATCACATCAAAGTCGAACAGTTCCAAAACAGCCAGAGAAAAAGCCATGAAGCCAATTTGGAACACCTGGGGAAATGTCCTGGATTTCTCCCACCTGCATGCTTGAGAAGGGGGTTGGACTAGATCAGGGGTCCCCAACCTGTGGGCCGCTGCCCGGTAGTGGACCGTAGCCTGCTGGCCACTGGGCCATGGGACAGGCTGGACAGTGGATGCGTGTGTGCATGCACACCCCCTCACTTGTGCTAGCGCCATGGCTGTGGGGCACAAAAACAGGATGCTGCGCTACGGGGTGCGAAAGCAGCCACCGCCGCACTCCAGGGCATGAAAATGGGACTCCGCCATGCCACGGGGTGTGGAAACGGGGTGCTGCCGCGCTGCGGGGTGCAAAAATGGGTCACTGCCGCACAAGGCACAAAAACGGATGCCATCGTGCAGAAACAAGACGCTGAGCCACGCAAGAATGGGGTAGGGTTAGTGTCACGCAGGTGCTAGCCCCGAACCCTTTGCAGCATGTAGGTGCTTGCGGCCACGTGCGCATGCACATGTGTAAAATGCTTCCCTCCCTCCCTTTTCCTCCGGTCCGCCAACCGACAAAGGTTGGTGACCTTTGGACTAGATGACCTCCAAGGTCCTTCCAATTTTGTTGTTCTAGTATTCTGCTAATTAATTCCCTTCCAATGCAGACACTTGCCTCTATAGGCCTTTTGCACCCCCGGGCTTATCTGCGGACGATAGCTGCCATCTTGAATTTTTGGACACACACAATCACACACAATCACACACACCACACACTTCCGGCATAGTCCCTTGTTTCCCAAGTCCTACTGTGCCCACTTTTAAATACAGGTACTCCTCAATGTACAATCGCAATTCAGCCCCAAATTTATATTGCTAAACGAGATACTTGTTAACTGAGTTTTGCCCCATTTTACAACCTTTCTTGGCGCGGTTATTAAGTGAATCACTTTAGTCGTTAAGTGAGTAACAGGGTTGTAAAGTGAATCCGGCTTCCCCATGGATTGTGCTCGTCAGAAGGTCGCAAAAAGTGGCCCCAGGATGCTGCGATTGTCATATATGAGTCAATTGCCAAGCATCCAAATTTTCATGATGCTGCAACTGTCATAAGTGTAAAAAAACGATCATAAGTCCCTTTTTTCAGTGCCATTGTAACTTTAAATGGTCACTAAATGAATTGTAAATCGAGGAATACTTGGACAACAATGATTCTGGGGAGTGGGGGAGACAGTGGTCTCCCCTTTTGTGGGAATCTTAACTCAGACACAATTGCAGTCATACCCTACCCACATTTGCACGCACTGTTGGGGCTATCCGCAAATGATCTCAGTGGCTCGAAATTTCGAGGTCCCTGCTTGGGTTTTGGATTCCCCCCCTTCTAATCATGATGACCCTTCCTCTTTTTAACTTGTCTGCCTTTTGTTCCAGTTCATTATGCCCGTCCGATCATTATTTTGGGGCCCACCAAGGACCGTGTCAACGACGACCTCCTTTCTGAGTTTCCAGACAAATTCGGGTCTTGCGTGCCACGTGAGTCCACCGCAGAGCGGTCCTCCCCCGTGGGGGGGGATCTGGGGTTTTGGATCTCTTAACTGGATCTGGGGAAATGGATTTGGGGGATGGGGGCGCAGGGCGTACTCCTACGGAGAGGGTTCCTCCACCCTACACTGGATGGGAGCGACGCAAATCCTCCCTTGCAGACACCACGCGGCCGAAACGGGAGTACGAAGTGGACGGCCGAGATTACCACTTTGTGGCTTCGCGGGAGAAGATGGAGAAGGACATTCAAGGCCACAAATTCATCGAGGCCGGACAGTACAATAGCCACCTTTATGGGACAAGCGTCCAGTCCGTACGGGAAGTGGCTGAGCAGGTACGTGGCAGGACACGGAGACGGGCGAGCAGAGTCATCCGCAGGAGGAGCATAAAAGTAGAACGGGGTTTTTATCCACGTGGGCTGTGGCTTGCCATATTGTGACCCCCCCACCCCACCTTTGAGACACCCCCGCAAGGAAGAGAGATGGCTGGGGCTGGTTCACACAGCTTCTTAGCCAAGTCAGCAGCAGCCAAGTACCACAAATGAGGATCACGTGACCCCAGGACAGTATAACCGTCATAAATACACGCCGATTGAAATTTGATCACGTGACCACGGGGATGCTGCAACGGTTGTACGTGTAAGTTCCTGAGCCCATCGTTCTCTTCCCTCCCCTCTCCCCCCCCTGTCCAGGGCAAGCACTGCATTTTGGACGTCTCCGCCAACGCCGTCCGGAGGCTGCAAGCCGCTCAGCTTCACCCCATCGCCATTTTCATCCGGCCCCACTCCCTCGAGAATGTTTTGTGAGTAGGGGGGTCCTGCAGGGTGGGGAACTGGGAGGGGGGCTGCACACATGTGCTGGTCAGGGTTTGGGGGCGGGCTACAAAGAGGCTGCAGCCAAGCCAGGGGGCTAGGGGGAAAGCTTTGTCCTCCTTCCCCAATGTTGGGGTCTGATGGGAGAGAGACACACGGAAGCAAGGCAATCCAAATGGCAGGGGATTGTGCTGCGGAACTCCCCGCCACAAGAGCAGGGAAGACAGCAGGTCACCCTGGCTCCGCCCTTGGCTGGAAGGAGTTTTGGTAGATGGAGCCTCCCTGTTTAGGGGCAGTCAGGGACACGCAGGTTAGGTCTCAATTAGTTAAGAGACTTCAGTCCTTTCTCCATTAAGAGAACCGTTCGGGGGCCCCTTGAATGACCATCAGCTCCGGGACAGAAATTCACTTAAATGGCAGCCCTTTTTTTTGCTCAAATTCCACCCTTCTCCAACTGAAAACGGTCTGGACTACTACCCTTCCCATCACTCACAATCAGCACAAAGGCTACTCCAACACATCTGGAGCTTTCATTTTCAGGAATAGTCTACCTTACCCTGAGCAAACACAGAACCATTAGACCAAGGAGGAGGAGGAGGAGGAACCACCCCAGTGAGGTTCTCTGCCCATGTACAGAGAGCCAGGGCTGAAATGAACGAGGGGACAAGGCGGTCCAAGGTTTTTTTTTTCCGGGGTCATTAATGTGTGCTGTTTGTGACCCCAGAGAAATTAACAAGCGGATAACGGAGGAGCAGGCGCGGAAGGCCTTCGACAGAGCTACGAAACTGGAGCAGGAATTTACAGAATGCTTTTCAGGTAGGTTCAAATCCGTAATCTTTACAATTATTATTTTTTTAAAAAAACTATAATCTCAAGTTTCTAGTCCACCTGCATGTATTTATTCCACAAATTTATCTGGAGACGATCGAAGTGTGTTTGTGTGGATGTGAGTCTCGGGCATCCTCGCAGCTGGTATGGAGTTGAGAGCAACATTTCCTTCTCAAGAGAAACATGGGTTATGTAGTACGCAGGTAGTCCTCGACAGTTAAGTGGGATAGGTGGGATTTAAATGAGATAGAGGGATACAGGGCAAGGCAAGTCCATGAGGCAAAAGGCCAGTGGTGGGATTCAAATATGGGAACAACCGGTTCTCTGTGTGGATGCCACTTCCGGAAGTCCGTTCTGGGCCTGGGCAACAAAAAAAATTAGCTACCGGTTCTGACGAACTGGTGTGAACCGGCTGAATCCCACCCCTGCAAAAGGCCCATGGCAAGGCACAGAAAGAAACACGAGTCAAGGGTGAGGTGTGAGGTGTGAGGAGAGGCAGGGCGGCCTCCTCACCAGCAGCCTTGCCGACCTCCTTTGAGCTTGCCTCCGCTCTACTCTCCGTGCCCTCGGATCGAGCGGGGGAGGCAGCTGTTCCTCATCAGAGGGGATCCACTGCCTCGCAACACCGTTGCCTGTCTGTAGCTTATCCTCCCCTTCCCCCTCCCCCCCCCAGTGTCTGTAAGGGCAGGAAGCTCTCCATCCGGTCGACCACCTCCCCCAATGCCTCAAGGGTCTGGGACAACATCGTCCTCTCTAAACATCCCAAGGGAGATGTGCCATCTCCCCGTCAGACAGTCCCACTTCCAACTCCTCCTCCTCCGAGCGGGGGTGCGATGGGGCCATGACCCCTTCAGAGGATCCCCCCCTTGCTCACCCCAGGGTGCTCTGCCTCCCTTCTTCTCTCCCCTCCAGCCATCGTAGAAGGAGAGAGCTTCGAAGAGGTCTACCACAAGATCAAGAGAATCGTCGAGGAACTCTCTGGTCCCTATATCTGGATTCCGGCTCGTGAAAGACTTTAGAGCGATGAACTAAATTTCCCGGGAAGGGATCCTGAATTCCACCCACCGACCGCACCAACTCTGCAACCGCATCGCCGGAGCTGCCTCTGGAGCAGAGGAGCGCCCCTGCCTCTTGCCCCCCCGAACTTAGCTGTCGGTCACTCTTTTGGGGTGGGGGGGTGGGCAAACGCCTCAAGATACGCCCTAACTTTTGAGTTTCTTCTTCTCTTCTTTAAGACTCGGATGGGGAAGGGGACGGGAAGACAGTGTGCTATATATTTTTTTTCTTGTTGTCTGACTCGCGTGGCGATGCCCCCCTCCCCGTTTTTCTTTCCGCGGCGCAAAAGAGGGGCTGCTGATCTCCTCCCCCCCGGTCCCCAACAGCGCTAGCACTTGCATGCGGTCATTTTGGGAGGGGAGGAGAAAAAAAGGGGGGGCTGTCCTTAGACTCTGATCTCTTTTATTTGGCGAGCAGGAAGCGGGTCAGGAATCGGGAAGGAAGGAAGGAAGGAAGGATTTTTTTTAATGTTCCTTTTTTCTACAAGCAGAAGACACTTTTGATCTCTTTACGTCTTTACGTTCCTCATTGGATACACATTGGAAGGAGAATTTGGCAAGACTTTGGATTCTTGTGAGTTTCATCTTCTTGAGCCGAGGAAGGAGACAATTGGGAGAAAAAGACGAGAGCGGAAAAGCCCTCTGCAAAAGGGTTCAAATCGTTCTCCAACGTTTTGCCTTTTAAAATATCATTTCCCTCCCTCCTCCCCCGGAAAGGAAGAAAAAATAGTTCTCCTTCTTTCCCTCCATACATTTTGAGTGAAGAATTATTGTTATTATTAGTTAAAATAGTGCTTCTCAACCTCGGCAGCTTTAAGACGAGTGGGCTTCAACTCCCAGAATTCCCCAGCCAGCCACGCCTGTTTTTATTCTCCTATCATCTCCTAGAGCAGAGAGATTGCAGAGGAAGGGATTAAAAGAGAGTAAGCAGGCCACAATGGGTGTACAGGTCAAAAGGAATTCTGGGAGTTGAAGTCCACTCGTCTTAATGTTGCTGAGGTTGAGAGACACTGAATTCAAACAAGAATTGGAGAAGAATTGTAGCCCAGTGACTTAGAAATTTTATTCATATATATGCGAAATAATTGTCACGTATATATATAAAAAGGCTTTTTTTTTTTCCAGTTGCATTTTTCTTTTTTGGACTCTTCTTATTTTTGATTTCCTTGAGTACAATACAGGAAGAGTCGCCTGCAACTTCAAGAGAGGACAAAAAAAAGGGAATTTTTTCTTTCTACGGAAGGGACAGGAAGAGGAGAGGAGAAAGAGAGAGAAAAAGAAGATAAACAACAACAAAATAATAATTTTTTTCTATGTCCTGTGATTCTTTTTTTGCGGTCATATCAAGTCTTTTTGGTGCGGCTGTGCGTGACGTTACGAAAAAAAAAACCACAAATATATAAAGGAGAAACAGTTTTTAACGGGGCAAAGTCTACTTCGGAGAATTGTCATTTATTTCCAAGAGGAACGGATTATTATTAATTTTTTTTGTACATACAAGCAAAAAACAAAAGAGAAACTGGGAGGGGGAAAGAAGGTCGGTTAGAGAAGTTACGCCCTCCCACCCCCACCCTTACTGCTTGGGAAGCCCCCTGCAAGACGCAGAATTCGAGATGCAAAATTCACAATTCCGGAACTCGTGGAGGGCGGGCAGAAATTGTGAATTACAGAACAAAACGACAGGGAGGAATTTTCAGGGGGAGAAACCCCCCCCCAGCTGAAGTCATCGGCACGTTCTGCCTTGCGGTTTCTATCCGCCCTACCCCCCCGAACCGTTTTTGATGCAACGGGCGCTCTCCGGAAAGCGAATCAAGTTCCTAGTCCTCAGCGTCTGCGGGAACGAGACAAAAAATATCGCAGGCAGGAGATGGATCCCATTTTTTTCAACACCGCCTTCCGACGAAGAGAGAGGCTTCGCGCCCCCTCCCCACCGCTGAGTCCACCCCCCCCGGAGGGAGACCACCCCCTCGTTTTTATTCACCAAACTTTGGTTTCTTTTATGCTCATCCAGGTCAAGAGGGAGGCGGGGAGAGGGGAAAAGAGAGGTTTTTTTTCTGAGCACAACAAAGAGGCAGCTCGGGGTGGTCTAGATGGCTCTGGGTGCCCCCCCCAGTGGCCGATTCCAGGAAGAGAAGGCAGCTGGCTGGGAGGCACCAATTGTCCAGGGAAAAGGGGGGGAGGGGGGAATATATAAATATATATGTATAGAGAGAGAAAGATTTATTTATTACCCTGGTTTCCAAAGGACGCCCCCATCCTGCAAACCTGGCTGCTTTTGGCCCCCGAGGTTGGGCCTGATTTTGGGGGGAGCTAGTGGGGGTCTCGACCCCTTCCCCCTGTCCCCTCTCCCCTCGCGCTCAGCAGAGGTGGCAGCCATCCTGCTGACTGACTTGTCAAGGGCTTTCAACCCAGGGACAGGATCCCTGAGGCCCCCCCCACGCCGTTCTCTCCCCCCCCACATATCGCCCAATGATGGGGTGGGGGTCGCAGAAGAAGTTGGTCAGGCACAAAAAGGGTCATTGGTTCCCCTTGCAAAAATGCCAAAAAAAATAAAATTAAAATTAAAAGAACTAGCTGGGGGGGGTTTCTTGCGGGCGGGGGCACTGAGGATCGGCAGGGG